TATTCCAGAGTTTAATAATTTATTAAAATTATAAACTTTTTTTATTATAAGTTTTTTAGCTCTGCTCTCTATTCTATAAAAATATATATAATTATTAATATTTTTTTATTATAAATATTATAATTATACTTAGATAGAGATATAGTCTTTAAATAATAAATTATAAAATATTATATATCTTTGATTTATTAGTAAAGAATCTTTATAATTATTTTATTAATTATATTAATTTTAATATATACAAATTTAGATAGATTATAATAAATTAATACTAAAACTAATATTAAAATCTGTTTTAGAGTCTGGAAAATATTTTTATAAAATTAATTTTAAAGAAATAAAATATTTTCTAGATAAGCCAGTTTATAGATTTAATGATTTAACTATAATTTTTTATAAAATATTAATAAAAATTATAGAACCTGAGAAATAATTAAATTTCTTTAATAATAATTAAATATTATTATTTTATGATTATAATAATTTTTACAGGATTAATCTAAACATTTATAATAATAATAATAAACTCTAGAAACTTAATTTTTATTATATAAAATTTATATTTAGAAATTACTGCTTGAAGTCTGGCTGTTTAAAAATATTTAAAAATTTAATAAATATAAAGCTTATGCTTTACTTTATTTTTATTAAAAATTAATATATTATTAATATATTATTAATATATATTATAATAAATTTATACAGGAAATCTATAAGAACCTTATTAATAAGATATTAAAAGATTATTAATTTATAAATTGAAACAGTAATACTTAATACTTAAAAATCTTATAATAGATTTAGAAGATAGTTAGATCTTTAAATTTAAAATTCATATAAATATAGTAAAAGTCTTAATAAATATTAAATTTTATAAACATTTTTATATTTTAAAGACAGTCCATCATCTTATTAATTAAGAAATTAAAATAAAGATTTTTTTAGATTAGAATATTAAGTTTTTAATAATTAATTTATAAATATAATTTTTTCCGGGTTTTTTTACTATCAGAATAAAAGAGATAAATAAAACTATATTAAATATAATAAATTTTTTAAATTTGCAATAATATAGTTTTGAGTAATTTTAAATTTTTTTAAAATTATTTTAGAAAAAGAAATTATCTTTAATAAGTTATTTTCTTCTAACTAGATATAATAATTATAAGATTAAAAAAAAGATAAAATATCTAATTTCTTTTTAAAAAAATATTTATTAAATTATAATAATACTTAAGAAGAGTCTGCTTTATTTTTTTTAATTAATTTAAATATTTTATTTTAAAGCTTTATTTTTCTGTAATAATTTTTTAATTATACTTAAAAATATAATAAATATCTTTAATTTAGAATTTTATAAATATTCATAAAAATTAGTAATTATGATAAAAGCTATTTTGATTTTTTTAAATATAGTTTTTGTTAAAGGCTCTAAAGAATTTTAAAGATTTAATATTAAAACTTATAATCTATTAAATTTTAATATATCTTTATCAGGGCCTCCTATAAAATACTTTAATAAATTAAAGATATTTTAAATCTTTTTAAAAAAGAATATCTATAATTAGATATTAATTATTTTTTAAAAATTATAATTTTATTAGATAATATTTTACTAGTAGCTTTAATTAATAAAATATTATAATAAAATATACTGGAGGATTTATTATATTAATTTAATTTTAATTTCATTTTATAAAAAAATAGTTAAATTATATAAATTTATTTTACTAGTAATTTAATAAGATCTTATATTTTATAAACTATATTTATTTTAAAATAAAATTATAATTTAATTTAAATATTAAAAATAATATATTACAGAATTAATATTTATTAATTATAAGTATAAACTAGATAACATAAATTAAAAATACTATAATCTTATTATCAAAGCTTATAATAATATAATTAATCTTTAAAAAAATAATATTAATTTATAATTCAATATTAAAATTTTAATAATAAAGTTTTTATTTTCTTAATCTGGCAGATCTTATAAATTTAATAAATTAATATTAATATTTATTTTATTTAGATAAAAGACTTCTTCTAGATATTATCTTTTATTAAATTATTATTTTTTATTATTTCTAATAACTTAATCTAATTTATTTTTTTTAATAATTCTAAGCAAGATATTTCTATTTCTAATAAATAAATAATTTTTTTAATTATTATATAGATATATTTCTCTAGCTTTATATTAATAATATAATTAATATTATAAAAGATCTTAGCCACGATAAAGAAAATTATAATTATAATAATAATAATAATTAATATAGACAGTTAATATAGACAGTTAATAACTTAAAATATTTATTTTATTATAATATTTTATTATGTTATTAATTAAGTCTGATAATCGGGCATACTTTCTAATATATTATTTAAATATTATATTATTATTATTAAAATAGAATATTATAAATTTTTATAATTTTAATAGAAAATACTAGTAAAAATCATCTTTTTAATAAACTTCAGTAATATCTCTTTTTACTGTAAAATAATAAAATATAAATATAAAATTATAAAATTTATTATTAATTATTATTTTAAATTTCCGATACTGTTAATATATATTATAATATTTATTTAAATGAATATAAATAATTTTCAGATATTTAAATATATTAATTATATTTATATAAAGATTTAAAGCATCAGGATAAAATCAGAAAATTAAATATTTTTTAATATTATTTTTATAATAGCTAATTATATAAGCTTGTTAAATAATAATTATATTTAAATAATCTATATTAGCTTCTAGTTTTTATTATATTATAAGAAACTAGTTTTTAAAGCTGATAATTTTATTATTATTAAATAAAAGTAGATTAGATATCTTTATTAATCTTTAAAATTTAGAAATCTTAATTATTTAGTTATTTTAATTATTAAACTAGAAAAACTAGACAGTATATAAGTTATATTTATATATTAATTTATTATAATTATTATTAAGCTTATCCTGCTAGTAAATAATCTTATATATTTTTATTTTTATTTTTTTTATAATATAAAAAATTATATTAAAAATTTTATAAGGATTTTTCATGTACAGCTTATAAAATTAATTATAAATAATATTTTTCTAATTATCAGGCTTTTTTTAGTAGAATAATTAGATATTATTAAGAATTTATAATATATAATACTAATTTAATATAGTTTTCTCTAGCTATTATAAATATTCTTACTACTTATTTTACCTTAACTGTATTTAATATTATTAAATATATATAAAAAATAATACCAGCTGCTGAGTTGAGTAATTAATAATACATAATATTAATTTAAGAAATAGAAAATGAAATGATACTAGAAATTATATAAAACTTATTTAAATAGTTAAATTTAATATTAAATTTAATATTATCTAATAAGAATTTTTGATATAAAGAAAGAAAAGAAAGAAGCTCAGAAAAGAATATATAATTATATAAAAATAAGTAAGCCATGCAAGATAAATAAATAAAATAAACAAAACAGAGATCATGTGACCCAGAAATGTCACTCGCCGTCACAGCAGGCTGGTATTAAATAATAAATATAGTCTTACAGCTCTGTATTCTAGAGAGTAAAAATTTACTTATACATGATTTTACAATTTATTATATTTAATAAGTAAAAATAAATAAGATGAATTAAAAAAAAGGAACAAGTAAAGCAAGATTTAAAAAAAAGAAAAATAAAAAATATGAAAAAAAGAATAGAAAGAAAGATTATTTTTTATATTTTATAGAAAAAAGAACACAGGGAAGAGTAAATATAATTTAAAAAAGAGATAAAAGAAATAAAAAATAAGAGAAATAAAAAATAGAAGAAATAAAAAATAAAAGAAATAAAAAATGAAAGAAATAAAAAATAAAAAAAAAATAAAAGAAGTAAAAGAAATGATAAAAATTCATTTTTATTTATTAAATATAAATAAAATGTATTTATAAATAGCACAGCTATAGCAGAAAGTAAAATAAAATAAAATAAAAAACTAATAAAACTAATAAAATATATAAAATAGTTATTTTTTCATTTTTATTAAATATAGTTATTAATAATTCTTTATTCTTATATATATTAATTTTTAATTTGAATTAGTCTAGTACCTGGCCCGGGTACAGAATATTCTTATTTATAAATAGAAAAGAAAAAAGAAAGAGAAAATCTTTCTTCTTTTATTAAAATCTAGATTCATTATATAATTAATAAATTAATATAAATAATTTCTTATCTAAAAATAAATTTTTATTTAAAATAATAATAAAAATTATATCAGACAGATAACTAGAGAATAAAATAAAAAAAAGATTTTCTATAAAAACTGAGTATTTATATAAAATAAAAAAGATAAATATAATATAAAACTTAGAAAATATATAATAGAAAGAAAACTAAAGATAAAAAATAAAAAAATAGAAATTATGATAATAATAAGGATATAGACAGAGAAACTAGAAAGATAAAAATAAAATATCAAATTATAATAAACTAAACTAGCCAGAAATCTGAATCTAAAATATATTAATTCATAAGTATATTAGTATTCTTAAACCAATACTATACCAGAGAAAGAGGATAATATTATAAAATAAGTTCTTTTAAAAAACTTAGTTATTTAGTCTTATTGCTATTTATTAAATAATTTCATATATAAAATCTTGGAAGCCCTGAGACCTTATTTATATACCAGCTATTCTTTCTTGTCCAACAGGCGATGTACTCTTGGAACCAAGGAGCGACACCTAACATTTACTCATTTCTTTTCCTGCTTGAATAATATATTCACACAGGTCTATGTGCTCAGTGCAAGAATCCGGAAACTCCTCACATTGGGTATTAACTGCAAGCTTACAAGTGATGCGCATTCTGAGTCAACAAACTCAGAATTGTAGTCTTTACCCGGATAGCCGAGTGGTCAGTAGTTCCGGACGGTTCACTCCTGAAGCACACCAGGCGCTAGCGGATCGTGACACTCAGCTTCAGTACCCTACATGGAGTTGAGTCCCACTTATGTGGGCCCTTGATGCATACATTGTCCAATTAAGTTGATGACTACGGGTGATTACAGCACTAATACCTTTGGCTCATCAACACATTACAAGTCAATGAGGTCATAAGTTCACCATACAAACAATATATTCCTGGTCACATGCTTCTAGTGATTGACACCTATATAATACAATGATACAGCTGGTACTCCGTACACATTTGCATATAAGACTGACCCCACCCCTGCGAGTGTTGTACAAAGTAGTACAAAGTGCGTTTTTGTCCAATGCTTAATCACAATATCTTTAGTCTTTAACAGTAACATATTACCTGTTCCAACATCACACATTACTGTCTAACAAACCAATCGCTTCATATCCACTGGAAACCGTGGGCCGCTAAAGTAGGTATCGGGCTTGTAATAGGCAAGCCCCGGGCACTTTATGTTAACTATTCATTAAAGTCTACAGACATACTGAATAGAGCCAATCTCTCATATCGAGCAAGGTATGTATATTGATGACTTGCATTCGCTCGATGAAAATCACTGATTATATGCCTAGTTTCCTCGATCGAAAGAACGCAGAAAGTCCACCTCTATGAAAAGTAAGCATCTCTCGACATATCCGCTACCACTAGTGATATTTGGTGTGCGTATCTTGGATGCACACCCAAAAGCCAGGCTTGGTTGTACTTCGCACTCAATAGTTATCTCCCTAGTGACGCGGTCTCACAAAACCAACGATCCAGATCATTCAGCATTGCACGAAGGGGGAGCTCTAGATCAAGAGAGTCTTCCCCGCTATTTTGCCAAGTCAGGACCAGTGGATGCCGATCCCCGGAAGACAAAGAAAGATGGTGGCGGAAAACGAAACTGGTTAGTTGAGTAGTCTGGCGTCTCCATCATGGCCCATAGGAATATCCAGTGACCCTCCTTCAGGGGCCGCTCCGGCGATGAAGTGCACGACTATGGCTACAAGTTTACAAACACACGACGTCACTCAAACAGTAGCGCCCAGGGAATTGCGGACTTCAAGACAAAGTTTGAAGCCGTTGAACCAGAGCCAGTCTTTGAAGAGACCGTGCATGGGCCCGATGCCCTTCCCGCGGACGACGACATGGTAAGAAAAGTTGATAGCATCAACAGTGATATCACTGAAGGTAGTGAAGTCCTTTCGAACAAGCCATAGCTACATCAGGCGAGGTAACTAGGGATCAAGATGAGGATTCTTCAAGAGTGATCCCGCACAGACACGGTAAACCAGCAAGAGCTTTGTATAACAAAGGTGACGATCTTCAGTTTATCAAAGACCCCTGCTAGGAAATATGATGAGATAGTAGTTTGACTGCGTGTGCAATTCAGGTGCCTTGCTTTAAATAAAGAAATCATTAAATGTGGATAAAAAGATGCCGCAGCCTCGCCCTAAACTACGGAGGCCAACTATCAGACAATTGCATTGCTAGAAGATACTGAAAACATATCAGCGCCAGGAAAGGATTACTAAGGATGTATAAAAGGGCGGAACGGAAGAGAAGCATGTCTGCAACCAATTGAGCTCATTCATAGAGTGCAGGCAATAGTCAAGAACTCAGATATTGCAGAGTGTTGTTCTAACATCTTAGAGCCAACTCAGCTGTGCCTTCTCGGTTGATGAATCGTATTGCGTTTCATTATGCGCATTGCCATTCTTGTCATCTTCGGTAGAAACCCCAGAAGGCTCTTGACGCGTAGTCTTGGCTGAGTCAAAAAGGTTCTTGAACCAGAAATCAAGCTTTCCTTTTTCGATCTGTTGAAGTAAAATTTCGTTTTCCCTGGCAAGATCACGAGAGATGCGGGCACGACGCTCAGGTGGAAAACGTGTTGTAATAAGATCAGCGTCAAAATCGCTTAGCAACACGTCGTGCGGGCCGTTAGGGACGTATATAGAAGGGTAGTTAGAATCTTCATCAAGGCCTGTGGACAGAGTTAGTAAGATGCTTGAGGACATTCTCCACTAGTCAGTATCATACCGTCCCTGAGGCACCAACAAAGGGTACGTGAGAGTGTTGTGGCATAGAGAAAACTTTCGGTGTCCATTCCCAATCCCTCAGCTGCCTCTTCCAATTTTTCCCAATTGTTATCTATCATGCATCTTCTCCACACCAATTTCTGTAGTGCTGCATGATATTGTGGATCTCGCTGGTCATAAGAGAGTCGGATGATTCGCAAAGCTAGGTAAAATTGTTTCCCCACGATTTCATCCTGACCTTGATCAGAGACCTGGGATAGGTATATGCGCGTTAGCAGGTCGACTAGCTCATCCGAGCTGAGAACTTGTCGAGTGACAATCTTGGCCAGAGCCTCGCTAAATATCTCATGCAATGAAGGCCTATCCGCGGCTGTTGGGTTGCGAAATTGTTCAATCGCGATATCAATTTCCGCCTTCTGATCGATTGCATTGTGTAACGCGGGCGCGACATAGGCGAATATCACTTCTTGGACGGCATCGACCTCCGCAAAATCTTCCAAGCGTCTGACGTTCTTGCGAACGACTAGACTATCTGGCATTCGAGATTCCTCCCAGACCGCAAGATTTGCAAGCTTTGCTAGAGACAACTCAACACGATGACTCCAGATATCTGATTCATGCTTCGTGGCAAGCTTCTCCAAGGATCGGGCAGCGCCCTCATAGTCATTCTCGCCGATCACATCATTAATCCAGCCCAGCCGCAGATAAGCTGGGTGTTTCCGTAAGAACTGAGTGACGAAGGGCTGGAACTTTTTCATCGCAAAGAGTATTCCAGATTGGCCCATGGAGATCTGTCGGGAGAAAAATGAATCGGCCCAAGATTCCCCGAATTTCTCAAAGTAAAAGGATATCTTTTGACTGAGCCGCTCAGACGCGTTCTCGTCAGCACCTGCATTTTTGTTTGGCGAATCTTGATGTGTCACAAGGCTCTTGGTTTGGTCCTGAAGCTCGATTATGAGCTCCACGAGCGCTCCCATATCTCGGAACTGTTCGGCAAGCATAATGGCATCATCTAGATGTCCTATTCCGGCCAACTTGAAAAGCTGCCATTTCCGTTGCTTGATGTGAGCCTGTTCAGTCGCAATACTTTCGTCGATAAGTTTCTGACTCTCTTGGGACGAAAGCCAACGGACTCGTTCACAGTGCATGAGCCCTAAAATCTGAAGCTGCCTAGAACTATTTTTGGCAATCCTTCTCACAGTTTGAGTTTCAGGTAGCTCAACCCCAATCGTTGTTTTCTGGATCCAAGCTCTGCAGCTATCAAGCTCCAGATCCAGCAGGTGTCCAAATTCGATGTAACAATAGCGCTGAGAAGTCCAGAACTCCGAAAGCCCAGTGTAGTCACCCGTCAATATGCCGTCCTCCAGATAGCCGTCACCAATACCATACCGGCTGGAATTCTCGTCTCGATAACGAAACGCAGTCTCCAGAACTGCTAAGGACAAGTCACTAGCCTCGAGTAGCTGCTCCGACATCCGTCGTCCCTGTTTGGCAGAGCTTCCCTTTTGAGGCTTGATGGCTTTAAAGATCCACGGCACGATATGTTCCATTTGAAAAGTATCATATAGAAACCAATGGCGCACTGGGTCGCAATCACCGGTTTGCTCTTCGATCTTCGTTTTGAACTTCTCGCTCATTAATCCGATTATGTGCGCCAGCAGTGTTGAATTTTTGCTCGTGCATTTCCTGGCTTCGTCTTCCAACTTCCACATAGCTCTTTGAGCAGCCAGTTTCTCCGCACTCCAAAGTAACTGCCACCAGATTTCTCGGCGGATGGTCTCATTCTGCTGTGTCAACAAGAGGGCGAGGTCGTCGAGTGCTTTCGCTCGCAGTTTTAGATTTTGATCCACGGAAATCCCACTCGATGGAATGAATTCCGATGCAGACCGCATTAATTCCTGGCATATTTCCAATGCAGCATTTTCCGTCTCGCTGATTGGGAATCCTATTCCGTCATCACCTGTAAGATTCAGTGGGTTTTTTGTCATTGTGCCATAGAATATAGCCTGTTCAATTTTATGCTTCGCAGTGATGCGGCCAACATCAACATTGCTCTTTGTTCTTTCACTCGGCAAAGCTGCAATACGAATGATTCCAAAATCTCGAACCATGAGCAGACATGCGGCTAATGAGCCCTCACCACTCTGGTTTTCACATCCGCTTCCTAAGATCTCGTAGCTCTCTCCAGAACGCAAAGGAATAATATCCTTGAATGCCCGCCCTTGCTGAGTTACGGAAACCGCATCCTGAGTAATAGTAGGGTGTTCGGAAATGGTCAATGATAACAACACAATTGACTGCCCAACAACAATGAAAGCGGTATGTCCGGGACTTGGTACAAACAACCTGACACGCGGGAAGTCGAGATGGGTGCGTAGTCCATGAAAATCAATCGTATTAGTAGATAAGACTTGAACATCGTCCGAAAAGCGCATTTGGACGACAAACATGTCCCGAACGATGCCGGGGGCAGAATGTGAGACAGAAGCCACAACCGCTGTTATCAGCGAGGAATTGGGCCCGTCACGAGCATTAGTGCTTTTGCAGTCGGCCAAGACAAAATCTAAAACCTTTAACCTATAATCATCGGCTTCACCCACGATAAGAGGCCCAAGTGCTTCACTCAAGAGACCATATACATCATGCTGATGTTTGAGCATGCTACCGTTGTTCCAGTGGGTATCCCAAATTTCGAAGAGACCTTGAGACGTAGCGATTACGACATCGCGTTGCCCACGCTGATGGGATTCGCCCGCTCGAACTGTGGCAATGTCTTTTCTGTAAAAGCCACCCCCAAGAGCATTTCTCAAGCTTCCAAGTAAACCTGGTCTACCGCCACCTGCGGGGCTTCTCAGGAACGAGACAGTTACTGCTGGCTTCCCTTGACAGTCTCTGATGGTTATATGGGCAACCCTTCCAGTAGATAATATAACAACGACACCAGACGGCTCGCTATTTATGACGTCTGTAGCGTGCTCACCCGAGAGCAAGCCAGGGATACAGCCTTGGATGCCAGAGTGCTTCTGCCTGGAGAAAGCTAAGGTTGCAGCACTTGATATGGTTTCCCAGTATATGATTTTTCCGGTATATGGCATGACCACCATCAACCCCGGAACACCGCCTGCAACGGTAGATAAGAGCAACCCCAGGGGGGCAGTGTTACCAGGCTCTTTGCAGGACTCGGGTATTGCAAGGGTAAAAACATCTGCGGGAGAAGGCGATGGAGTTGTGGTCGAATATGCCCAGACAATCGCATGCGATTTGGTTAAGGCTAAAGCATATCCATGACTAGTTCCAAATGAACCTCTGAAAGGCCCTGCATGCTGTGTTAATATAGTTGCGGTGGCGAAGGGGTCAGCTGTACTCGCCTGTTTGTAAACCAAGCACCTGGTCTGGCAAAGTGGGTAGCTGGGTGACGGTGTAGAACTCCGTTTTTGACTATGCATAAACCTATGTCAGATAGGTGATCCAAGGATCTTGTAGACTGGATAGTAATCGAGAACCACTTACAAGCACCACTGTTCCTTCACCTTCATCCACGCGCTTCCCAGGCCTTTTGACCGCTCGTATAGGAATATTTCTGTGGAAATGAGCAGTTTCTGAATTTGCGACGCCTTCATTAGATAAAGTTGACGGCTGGCGTTCCTGAAAGTCGAGCTTGGTATGATTGTCATTCGGATTTTGAGACGTTAGTTCTAAGCCTTTTTGACGGAGATTAGATCTTTGTCTTTTCGCACTTGGAGGCTTTGGTGATTCGTCTGAGTTCGTACGCTGACGCCTCCGGGGGTTGCGCTGAGAAGCTGCGGATGAAAGCGTCTTAGGTACAAACATTTTTTAGGACCAGACACAAGCTAATTGCGTACTAAGAAGACCCTGTGTAGACTTCGTGGCCCAGAAGCGCGCATCTGAAAAGTAACCGTAACACGCCACAGTCGTGATGGAGAATGATTTGAAATTTTATATGTAAACAATATATTATTTAAATAGCGATATTGATAGGTACTAGGTATGGAGGTTAATTCACTCCGAAGGCGGTCAGCAGTTCTGATAGGATACCAGACACCCATAGATACCTGCAGAGCCAGTCCTCCTAAACAGATTCGCACTTACCTGATTAGTGATGTAAACACCCTTCAGTCCCTGTTTATACTTGCTGGATAGTACTATATCTGTTGAAAACA